TGGCCGCAGGCACCCCTGCCGCTAGACCACATTGCTCAAAGCCCCATCCAGCCTGGCCTTAAACACCTCCAGGGATGGGGCATCCACAACTTCTCTGGGCAACCTGTTACAGTGTGTCGCCACCCACACAGTGAAAAATTTCTTCCTAATATCTAATCTAAATCTACCTTCTTCCAGTTTGAAGCCATTCCACCTCATCCTATCACTACATGCCCTTGCAAAAAGTCCTTCACCATCTCTCCTTTAGGCCCCCTTTAGGTACTGGAAGGCCGCAATAAGGTCTCCCTGGAGCCTTCTCTTCTCCAGGCTGAACAATCTCTCAGCCTGTCCTCATAGGAGAGGTGTTCCACCCCTCTGATTACCTTTGTAGCCCTCCTCTGGGCATGCTCCAACAGGTCCGTGTCCTTATGTTGGTGGCTCCAGAGCTTGACAAAGTACTCCAGGTGGAGTCTCACGAGAGTGGAGTAGAGGGGCAGAAGCACCTCCCTTGACCTGCTGGCCATGCTTTGTTTGATGCAGCCCAGGATTCGATTGGCTTTCTGGGCTGCGAGCACACGTTGCTGGCTCATGTTGAGCTTCTCGTCAATCAGCACCTCCAGGTCCTTTTCAGGGCTGCTCTCAATCCATTCTCTGCCCAGCCTGCATTTTGTGCTTGGGATTTCCCCGACCCACATGTAGAACCTTGCACTTGGCCTTCTTGACCTTCATGAGATTGGCATGGGCCCACCTCTCCAGGTCCATCTGGATGGCATCCCGCCGGAATCTCAGTTTCTGAGTTCAGATACCTACTGCCACTGGGTGGCAGCAAGTTACCAGTCCACGAGTTCCAAAACACGAATCGACGTGTTCGGAGTTTCCTATCTCATTTCCTTAACACCGGAGTCCATTTGCCTATACTGGTGAAAACTGTTCCGCTCTGCTGATAGTCCTTCTTGTATTCTGTTCTGTGCTTTTTAAGTGTTACCAAAGGATGGCAGGTGACTGCAGAAATGCAAAATGCCAAATTGCTTCCGAGCTCCTGATCCAAAGAGAAGCAGAGAGAGAGCATAGCTTTCTGGCCAGCTC